GTGATGGCGACCAAATACTCACGACCTGTTCCACATCTTCGTCCTGCTTCATGACCGCATTGAGTTTCAGAACACCAATTCCCACCGTCCGTTCGGCCATGTGGAAACCTGAGCCGCCATCAAATGAGCCGCGCTGTCTGGAACCGGCAGTGCTGGGAGGTGCGGCGCTGTCTTGGCTCTCGTCCTGTGTCGGGGGGCGACCCTCGGGCTGTTCTGTTAATGAATCAAGCTTCGGTGTGGCATTCCCTCTGGAGAAGGCTGAGCGCCCACTCTTGGACCCCCACATCAGACTTCTTCTAGAAGGTTTATTGCCACTGGCAGAAGGTGGCTTTGTGGGATCTTTGGAATATCCTCCACCCTGAGACTTGATGCCAGAACGAGAGTCCGGCTTCCCGCTGGGAATAACTTGCTGGCTCGAACGCACCTTGACGACGAGGTATAGCTCGGTCTCCGCCGATGCAACGTCGCCAATGTCTTGTGCTGAAAGATCGGCGAATATTGTTCTAGTTTGGCCCGATTTCGCCAGACTTCCTATCGTTCCCCCGGGTGGTATGTCAATGATGAAGCATTCGGTGAGAGCGGCGGGCTGCCCTCCCACCGGCTTTGCTACAAGATAAACTACCAGTGATGTCTCCTCGGCTGATGCGCCGGCAAATCCCTTCACGTCAACAAGCAGGTGGTGCAGGGCCGTCGGTTCTACGGTGGGCACTGGTGGCTCATCCAGAACGCTCATAACGGACTGCAGCTTCGTAACGTCGACTACCGAATCATCGCCCGTCAATACTCGTCCCCGGTCTGCGGGGTCTCGAACAATGACCTCCCCTCCACATAGCTTATTCACCCGCACCAGGTCCCAGACTGTCTTTTCGCGCAACTTGTCATATTCATGTCGTGTGAGGACGTTGTGGAGGAACTGTTGTCGGCTAAGATTCAGCGTTTGGATCAATTGCGAAAGCTTCTCCAGGCGAGGGTATTGGCGAGATAAGAGTAGGCCATGTAGATTGGTGGAATGCCACTCTCGGAGACAGCTGGCAATTTCGTCAATAAGCGGTTCAGCTGCTGATGTTGGGGTTTCGTCGCCAATCTTGAGCATCGGTACGGGTGCGGCCGGGCGTGGGGCGTCAGGATCGCGCTTGACGGGGATGGAAAGTCGACCCTGAGTGCCGTTGGGTAGTTCCCCAAGCGGTTTGCGTCCCTTGATCTCGATTCTGGAGCCTTTGGACCCTCGTGAGCTTCCTAGAGATTTATGACCGTCTTTCAATTTGGGTTTCTCGGTAGCTGTTGGCGTCAATCCGCTCTTTCCCGAGTCGCTACCGAGTTGAACATCGCCAGCGGCAGCAGCATCATCGCTTGTAGCATCGTTCAGGTCTTCCGTGTCGTCAGATTCACCCAAAACCTCGCGAACCTCGACGCAACTTCGGGGGAAGATGCCACTAAAAACGCGGGCTTCGAGTGTCTGGCCCTTTACGGAAGTCAGTCCGGCCAGCAGGCTGGGTGGAGCTACCAAGTAGCCACGCAACCAGTTGCCATCTGGGGTTTCTTCAATGATGTAGAGCTCATCGCCTAGTTCGAGGGGGAGATCGGCCGGGCCCGAGGCGGCGAAAGGAAATGTCGCAACGGCGAAGGCAATGCGAGGAAGAGGCTGCCAGGGCATTGAAGGCTCGGTTCGTCGACGACGTGCGCAAAGATGTGGTCGGTATGTGGAAGAATGAAGGACGATGGGGACGAAAACCGATGAACCTGTAACAAATACAGCTTAGCACAGAGCCCAGATCGCACGGCAAAGGATACGGGAGGATGGTGATCGATCGCGAACCTGTGGGACCCTGGCAGGGCTGTTTCTGGTGTTGAGGTGGCCTCGTGGAGACGATCGGCTATCGCTTCATCAGGAACAATCGACACGGGCCGGGTTCGTGTAGTTTTGGTTCAGCGATCCGAAGAAGTGGTTGCGAGGGGGCAAGCAACGTGGGCGAGGAAGAGGGTGAGAGAGAGAGCGATATGGCGCAGGTTCGATCGAAGGGCTTAGCGTTTGGCGTTGCTTGAATTGGGACGACAAGGGCGGCGTTGATGTGTTGCTTGCAGTCTTGCAGTACGGTGCAACGGCGACTACAGCATGTGGCTTCTATCTCGAGTCTGGCGTTCGTGTGAAGGCGAATGGAGCAATTGGGTATCCGTAATTTTTCTCGCAAGGAAATTCGGCCGGCCTAGGAGAGCAGAAGAGGGTCGGCAGAGGAGGAGGGGGTCGGTGGGTTGGGTGGTTGGACTGGGGGATAAGGGACGGGGTATCAACAATGAATATGATTGCAGGCAAAAGGCGAAAAGAAAGCGACAAAGTTGTTCAAGGGTCGTATCGTGGTTCGGGGGACCCAAGCGGTATGTTCCTGGTTATTGCCTCTGTGATGGTCGTGTATCAGATCAGGGCGACGGATGGCGGGTTCAACGGCTGACTACTGCTGCTTTGGGCAGACGGACAGACAGATGAATCAAGGGAGGAATTGGCAGATGGCGGGAAAGGGGAGGAGGTGAGAAAAAAAAAAGTCATGAGAGACACCAAACGGTCCTTGACTACCTACGTTGGGCTACGTTTAGATGTGAAGAATTTCCTGGCATGAGCGACAACGAACAATGAACATTGAGCATTGGGACGCGCAGCCGTGTGGTGCATTGAGCAGTAAGGTACATACCACAAGCCCAGACCAACGGAAAGCAAGAGCCCCTGAAGCACACAGCAGGGACAGCCAGGAAAGGGAAGGCACCTCCCAATTGTTGTGTGTGCCTGCACGGAGTATGTGCCTGAGCCTTGCTGTGAGTGGCTGGTGGAGAGCATTGGGGAGAATTGACTTGGGCTGGGCTAAAGCTGGACTGCAGTCTGATTGGTCAGATGAGGCTCAAAGAGCACGAGGTGTGGTGGGTCTGTCAGGGTCTGCACGGATCACTCATCAATCAAGAGGGGACCTGGAACGGGGGAGGAACGACTGTGGAATCAGGAAGGAATGCAATGAAATAATCCGAGGCTGTATATACACCGCAGTACCTTACACTCGCATGAATAGATTCAATTACCTTAGTAGTGTATGTATGTATGTATGTATGTATGTATGTATATACATTACTTAAGTATTTGCACGGCTACTAGTCGCTGCACAGTGGCATTACCTGATGCAGATACCAATTCATCTTCGAGACAAGCACGGAAAGTCCAATGTCTTCTCATTGTCGCGACCCAAACTAGAGGCACAAAACATGTTTCATTTCATTCAATGACATGACGTCCCCATGCAACCCCATCGGGACCATCCCGCAAGAGCACCTCGTGTGGTTTGCCTTCAATAAAGCCAAGACCAAAGATCATTAGACAAAGACCAGACCGGAAGGAGAGTATTGCGATCGCGGCGACTGGGGTACCCATCGAGTCAAGAGCGGAGGCTCAGCGACTCGATTGGAATCTCTTTTTGGAAGCAACTGTCATTTAAATTCTACGCAAAGCATTCCCATCACAAGCAGGGTATGTCCCATCTCGTCTCAAACCGGTTCGAGCAACAGCAACACCCGAACGCCTGAGAAACTCCCGTCGTTCAATTAACTCAATCCGCCCAACCTTTATGCCACAATGGACGCAGCCTCCATGTCTTGGACCCTGGACCCTATTCAAACCTCAGCTGAGGGTGGAAAAGAAAACAACAACATGAGCACGGACAAAGACTGAGAGACATATGATCGCATGGCCTCATTCTGCCACTCTGTTCTGCCGCCTGCGTCCCTTATCGAGTAGCTATGCCATGATGGAAGTACCAGTAGCAGTCGCAGTAGTGAAATAGTCAGTGCATGTCCGTACATGTACCTTTACATGTGACCGCTGCAGCCCTCAACGCCCGTCCGTTGTCCTGGGCAGCAGCTACCACTTCATCTCATCACGCTTGGCCGCTAAACAGCGCCGAGAGAATGAGGCCGTTGCCTCTCTTTCTCTTCCTCTTTCGATTTCTTTCAGCATCTTAGCTGACGGTTTTTTACAGGGACCAGCCGAGCGATTGTTGTGCCCGCCCGTCGACTCGGTCGTGGCTTGCGATGCAATGCATTTCATTGTCTCTTGCCCCGTTTGGGAAGATGCTAGTCCGCGACTCGAGGTTAGTGGCGCAGGAACGTTCTCATGTATCTGTCCTAGGTAAGAGACGCATACCGGTACAGGATTGCGGAAGTATCTCTCCTCTGCTTTCCCAAACTATCAAACAGGTGGATCCATTCAATTATCAAAAAAAGCTTGTGGTTGGTCGCGGCCGTGCCATTCTATAGTCCGGGCGTCGACTTGCGTCTGCACTAGACTCGAAGAAGTCTGGTTCTCAGCTTCTTGTGCGTGTCTTTGTGTACGTACCGCATCTGAAGTTCCCGGGGCCCCTCCTTCCCGCGACCAACTCATCGTCTTTCCTCTCGGGCATTGTGGCCTCGACCATGTCCCTCCTGCCTTCGACCGCAGGTTGGTTCCTGCATTTCATGCCGTCCGCGAACTGCAGGCGCCTGCCCTGGCCGCACCCGCGCCTCACTTTGTCATCAGATGAACACCACGCAACGCACCTCTCAAGGTTCCTCGCCTTGTGTAATTAATCAACTGCCTCATGCATCGTGAATGGGATTTCCCTCTTGCATCAGAAGCTCCAACTTCAGCCTCTTCTCCTTGTCAGACTTGATTTCCATGGCGGCGTTGCCCCGTCTGGCTCATGCCCCCACGCCTTGGCCCCCAAGTGTCATCTCGCACGCGCCAGCGCAAAGTGTTTGCGTCTCCATTGACCACTCATTTTGAGACACCGACATCTTCGAGAGTTCCATCCACAAATCCTACCCAACGACTGACCATGGTGTCACGCTCGGGCCCTCTGAGATACACCATTTGGTTCTGATTGTGTGCTAAGGAGTAGAGGTATGCAAGCACTTTGTGCGTTGTCAAGAGTTGTTGCTTTTACCATCAGGAGGAAGCATCTTACCCGTTCCATTCTTCAGCAGTACTGATGCCCAAACAGGTGCTATCTTTCTTTCTCTCTCTCCGGGCCCCATGCTCCTCGGCGGTGCCAAATTCGCTCCAAATCTACATCAACTCTTTACTCACGAACATGCCCTGGGAGTCCACGTGCAACGTAGCAATCGATGCTAGAATTCACTTCGACACCCGCGCAAGATCCAGAGTCGTTCAAAGCGCAGACATCCTAGGGACTTACAACACCGTCGCGCTATTGATGACACGGACGAAAGCCACGACGTCTGCCGCCGATAGCCCCGGATGTGGCTGAAAAGCTGGAGCGTTCAGGCCTTCCGCCCGGAGCGCCGAAATGAGACAGATTCCGGACCCACCCTACCATCACCGATCGGGATCAAGACTAGAGCCTCTACTGCCTTCTGGACCAGGCTATCCAACATCTCTGGCGGCTCTCGGACACTTCCCGCCCAACTAAGATGTACATCCATCGCATATACCGAGGCTACACCAATAGTCATCATCGTTCTCGGGGTAGACCGTTTTCCATCAACATGAGAGCAAGGGACGGTATTTCCGATCGCCCAGCGAACCCAAGTGCGGTTTGATATCAGTCGATGCCTCTCAAGCCACTCTCGGCTCGAGCCGAACACGTGGCGCTGATGATACCGGACGTTTGTGTCTTGACGAGATTTCCCCCTGGCAGTCTTCTTCAACGGATCGACGCGGGGATTTTACACTATCGATTACTCAATCAGTTCTAACTCGCCCAGGGGCCGCACGACAACGCTGCCTGCTAATATACGAGTGATCAGAGTTCTCATGGAGTTTCCTAGGAGTGCCATATCGAGCCACATAGTGGCGGGGCCGCGGGCTCAGGTGATCATTAGTTCGCTCGGCTCTCATCCTCGATATCATCGAAGTCCGGGGATGCATTTCCTTACACTTTGCGAAGTTATTGACTACCTGACCTGACTGCGAGAGCGAAGAGTTGGCGAGCGGAACTCACGTTCGCACTTAACACTCTAGTCACTAGATGATCCAATCGAAGACCATTCTAAGTATCTACCTGCGTAACGATTTCGACCGTCTCACAGCCTGTGTCGGTCATCTGAGGCTCAGATATGTATCTGTTCGCCACTTGACAAAAGCAGAGCCTTCCGGTCGGGCATTTCAAGCAAGAGAACGTTCAGACAATCTGCGCCGCTGTATGATGGATCACTTCCACCCCAATATCGGCAATTCCTGGACAGTATGAGATGGCATCGATCATCTTCTCCGGAGTCCAGTCGATGGTCTCGTGATGGTCTCATTACCATGTATACATGATATCATATTTTCAGCCTTGTGGTGGTTCTTTCCGGCTTTTCGGGTGCAACAGATCGATCTTGACGGGGTCTGGCTTCAAGCAGATCACACGACAACGCGATACTCGGGCTATGCACCAAGCTCGCGCTCATTTCAGTATGGTGATTTTGAGCCAAACAACACGATCCAATACGAGATTGTAAGCAAGTTGCCTATCGAGATGGCGGCACCGGCCGGCAAGGACAACCGCAGAGGTCCTGAATTCTGAGACTTGCAGTTACAAGATCTGCTCTGATGGGGATCATTGAAGTGCGAATTCCCGAACGTCTTTACTCTTCCTTCAAGTTAATGAGACCTGCATAGACTCGGTCACGGCCTACGCGTTTACCCTCATGAGGTTGCGACGATGTTGAAAACATTTCAGCCAGCCAAAGGCTACTCCCGGTGATCCCAAAAGCTCTTCCACTGTCGTTTGAGGTTCGTTGATCCCTGCTCCAGTGACAATCATATTACTGGACGGTCGTCTTTGGCACTAAACATGGTAGCCACCAAACATGGACTACGCAGTGGTGGTGCCCGGAATGAAAGTTCATTGTTTCAGCCGACGAGCTGACAATGAAGACTCCCTTCATCAAGGATAAATAGACCATCGTGCGGGACAGACGCTCTGTCGTTGGTCGATTCTTCCCCCGCGGTCTGATGAGGCCGCAACAGTTGCCTCACTGAATACCTGCGACGTGAGGGACTGCTGGACCAAGCAGGCGGAAGCCTCAAGGTTACTCCAACAGAATGCCCAAGATAGACATAAAGAAGAGACGGCCTGATTATCAACGAATGTCCGCAATATATCTATACTTGCGCCATTCGTCACCTTCTCTGACGGCAATGAAAAACTACTTCATCAGCATGTGCTGAGTCGTCAGACTCTCCGTTGCCATCGATCTCACACCTGCCAGGGGATGTTCAACCTGCTCCGCCGTGACCACCAAGCGTCACATGTCAGATGCTGAAGGTCTGGTCAGTTCGCACTTCCGTCGCCAGCAGTGCTGTTCGTTGGTGTCATGCGGCGCCGAAGCACTTACAGAATGTTCCGTCTCAATTGCTTCATCACAAATCCAGCAGTGAAGCGCCACAGAAGTGGTTCGGATGGTGCTGTGCTGCTCTGCACGAGTGGCACATGTCCTGAGTCCTCGGCCGGACGGAGTCGGCATGGAAATCGTTTTACGCATGTCGGCGCCGAGGAACGGAGGTTTTAGTTACCGATGCCGGGCCAATGTTTCGAGGGCTCAATAGTCCGGAGGGGGCGGAACGGAGCGGGCAAGCTCTCCGACCTGCCAGGATTCCTGAACGGGTATAGCTGGATGGCAGGTGCCCGCAAGAGCCGGCCGGGATTGGGCATTGCGCCGACGGTCCAACAGTCGAAATTTCAAACACCATGCTGGCTTACTGGTGGTTCGGTACCCGCCCAGCAGACGTCGCGAACTATGGCCTTCGGTAGCATCCGGTGACGATCTGCAGGGCTGAACGAGTATCCGTACGGGATAGAAGGAATACGCGGGACGGCCGGGTTCATCGCATAAACGCGGAAATGACAAGCCAGCGTGAACGTGCCCAATCCGGACTAGGTGAAGTCACCGAACGACGTTGGCTGATGTTTTGCACCGGGACTTGGGGTAGGTTGAATAACGTTTTGCTCGGGGAGGTTGATAAACACCATCATTGGCGTCAACTGCTCAGATGTCACGAAAAGCCCGGCTAGAGAGATCTGCCTTGGTGCAAAGAAGCTTTGCTAGGCGACCAAGGTCAGCGAGGCAGTACGACCTTATCAACCATCACAAAGCTTTTTTCCCTTCCCTTGTCAGTCTCGCTAGGAAATCGCCGAGCAAAGGATGGCCCGACCACGGGGTCGGCGATGGCGGATTTTGATGATGTATGCCAAGACAAAATGTCGAGCTCGCATTGAAGGGCGGGTGCGCCGGCCCCTCCCATCATCAATGAAGCCACCCTCCCGCAGAAGCATGCCACCGACCATTGAAATTAAAGTCAGGTTGTCGAGAATTTTCATCACTGATCTAAAGCAGACTGAGCATGGCGGCGGCCTCTCCTTGGACGCCGACACCCCGTTGGAAGCGTGGGAAGCGTGGGGGAGGACGATTGGGATTCGGCCAACAGGCCTGTTACCACCTGTGTCACCCATCCACCGCTTTTGTGTCCATCTGTGATCTGCCAGCCAGTCTCTCCAGCGTTGGTCGACAGTGCTGGCGACTTGGTGACATGCAAGACGTTCCTTATCTAAGGTGCGGAGACGTACGAAAAGGCATACGCAACCTGCAAATTCAGCCATGGTGGAGGTCGCGTGTTTGTCAAACGAGTCCGGTAATGAACGTCTCCCAAGAATACATTGGAAATGGAAACCCCAACACGCAAGCCCCTGAGGGGGGGGGGGGGACGGTCATCCTCCATGGGAGCGGAGCGGAATTCTAGCGGCGGCACGCAGCAGCAGAGCCAATTTCATGACAAGGGGGATCTCTACGGCGTATGGATACACAGTACCGGTAATCGACAAAATTTGCGACCTCTGTGCTGGGTTTTTTGTCTTTCTTTTCCCGCCGTTGAACACGAGGGAGGAAAATGCCTGCAAGCGGTGGGCTGTGAACGGACCCGTCTCCACGAACTCAAGAAGGACAAGACGGCTCTGTCGGATGTCGCGGATGCAGACCACTCCACCATGTTGCCCGATCCCCTGTCTGATTGGCCGGCTGTCAGCTTACGGTGTCGTGTGCCTCGTCGCATGCCCTCCGTCATCTTCGATCCCTCCCCGACGCCCACCTTCCCCCTTAGCGGACGCGCGCCTGATTGATAACAGAGCCGCGTTTCCTAAGCGGACGTCGGAGCACATGGTCCCCCTAAAGGGGAGTACAAAGTACGCAGTCGAGGCAAAGCCGCAAAGGCATGAAACCACAGCGAACCTCCAGAGAAGCTAGAGAGCACGGAGGGGGAACACAAGGGAGAGTAGTAGGGAACGGACCTGGGCTTCGAAGCATGACGGAACGGTTGAAGCGCAGGAAGAAAGAGACTTTGTTTCGCGGTTGGACGTGCTTGACAGAACAAACTACCTACGTCAGGTAGCCAAGCTCGGAACATGCAGAGCTAAGAGCATAACCGCACCGCAACGGCGAGCTGCCCACGACTTGGAGGGAGCACGCGACATTTCGTCTGTTGTCTTCTCTCTCTTACTCTGCTGCTCCCTCCCGAGTCCACAGCCCTCGCTCTTGTCTCATCCCAAGCCGTTGGCGACCGACAACACACCCGAGCTAGAGTCTGGAAGGACATTCTCTGGGTGCGAATTGAATTCCCGGGTGCGCCCACACAGCAACCAAGCCAAGCAGAAGCTCTCATCTCACACAGGGCGAAAGAAAGACGCAGCACACAAAAAGGAAGATGTAACCCTTGGCGCTCGCGGCACTTGGCGGGCGATTCGTCCACGTCAGGGATCCCAGCCCGTCCGCCCCAACAGCCCACAATCCGCTATTGGCTACAGATCGGAATTCCGTGTCATAGACAGGGTTGGTCACGGGCAGCAGAGCCTTTCCCACCATCCACAATCCACTTTGGGGCCATTGCGAGAGGGACCAGGGTGGGTTCGAATTCGACATGCGGTGCGCGGCTTGAGCTTGAGTTCCTCACTTTCCTCCCCAGCACCTCGGAGCCATGCGGAGCCCGCTGATGTGGACTGTGGCGGGTGGTGGGAGTGCGAACTTTGCGAGCAAGGACGAGGAGGGCGAAGACAGCCTAGGAGGATGCGCAAAGCGTGGCATGGGCTGCTGGATTCGCTACCTTACCTTTACGCAAAGTGCAAAGGCCACCAACCCGGTAACTCTGTATACGGTCGGTCAAGGTCCAGCTTGGTGGGTTGTGCCGAGCCTGGGCTTTCTGCTCAAAGTGTGCCGAAAGTCCATGTTCTATCTATTACGGTATTATTAACAGATCCATCTGATCCATGCTGCGTGATGAACGTCGCTACCTCGAGCTCCCCCGTTTGTTGTTGATTACCTTTCGACCTTCCCGCTCGACAGGTCTACCTTCTTCTTAATCTTGACTACTCCTCCTTTGCTCACTTATCCGTACTCCGTACACTACTCAATTTAGATCTTCATCAGGAAATCCCCGGTAGTTCAGGAGACATCCAAACTTGGCCCCCTTTGACACGGACAATCTTAAACTCACATCCCCGACCTTCCGGTCGCCTCTCTCATTGGGCCTTGGCCCAGCACACACCGGTGGACTGAGTCTGTCAGATCCATCCCACCCGCACGCATCCAGCCTTCGGGACCTGTGGCCCTTGCCGAACCTCCCGCGCCCTCAAATACCACACGGCAGCAGTCACAACTGGAGTAGCCAAGTTTCTCCAGTCTCCTCATACCTCTTCCACTAATCGCCGTCTCCATCGTCGGCTGTTTATTCCGTCATCAGTCAGTCAGTCACTCAGTCACACGAGGCAAGAAAGAAAAGATACAAGAAGGAAACATGGGTATCGGTGCCGTGGCAGAGCCCTTGGTGGTCATCACCCTTTTATTTGGAGGAACGTGGTTCAACCGCAACATTGGCGACACCAACGCCTACGATAACCTGGGATGGAAGGGAGCCGGCCTCGATGATGCCGAGCACAAGCGATCTGACGAGCGCCGTTCCGGCAACTCGACCCCAGACTCTGAAGAGTCCCTTCTCTCCCTCGGCGCCTGGAGCTCATCATCAACGTTGACACCGCAAGAAGAGCCGCCGCGACGCTCTCGCAGGATCAAGTTCTTTGGATACCAGCGCATCGTCACGACACCAAACACAAGAGTATACAAGGACAGACTTCTCAGCCGCGTCCTCCGCAAGTTCCCCTTCTTGGTCGAGGCATGGTACTGGGCCCTGATTTACTGGGTAAGCGGGAAACTCCTGATGCCGCCCTTCCAGCAATTATGTTTGGACCGTTCTAACACCATCAAAATATAGGTCTACCAAGTCGGCCGCGCCTTCACCGCGCTCACCCTCAACGAGGGAACCGTCGACGTGGCACGCAAGCACGCACTCCAGCTCATCCACCTCGAGCAGCGCCTCCACGTCTTCATTGAGGTGCCCGTCCAGCAGTACTTTTTGCAGATGCCCACCGTGATGCACTGGATCAACCGCATCTACTCCTTTATCCACATCCCGGGCACCATCCTCTTCCTCGTCATCCTCTACTTCATCACCACCACCCGCAAGCGCCGCGCCGTCTCCGCCAAGCTCGGCGGCAACGAGAACATTCGCTGGAACTCGGCCGGTCCCGCCCTGTACGAGGCCCGCCGACGCACCATGGCCACCTGCAACCTGCTCGCCTTTGTCGTCTTCACCCTCTGGCCCTGTATGCCCCCTCGTCTCTTGAGCGATCCCAACTACAACGGTCCCGATGCCGGTGAGGCCAAGAGCTTTGGCTTCGTGGATACCGTGCACAGCTCTACCGGCGAGAGCAGCGTCTGGACGACGAACAAGTTTTGCAACCAGTATGGTGAGTTTTGGACCTCCAAATCACGATTGCAGCCCCAACATTGATTTCCTTACTGACAAACGGAACAACAGCCGCCATGCCCTCCCTGCACTTCGGCTACTCCCTCCTCATCGGCCTCACCGTCGCGACCCTGCCCCTCCCTTCGATCCGCTCGCGGCCCTGGAAGCGCTTCGCCATCGTCGCCGTCGGCATGGCCTACCCGGCCCTGATCCTCACCGCCATCGTCGCGACCGCCAACCACTTTGTCCTCGACGCCGTTGCCGGCGCCATCGTCTGCGGTCTCGCCTGGAACTGCAACGGCGTGCTGCTCAACCTGCTCGTTGTCGAGGATTACTTCCTTCGTCTCTTGCGCATCCACAAGCCTGTCAACTGGACCGATCCCGAGGCGACGATTGATACAAACGAGTGGAAGCCCAGCACGGTTCTTGATGAGATCTAAAAGCTACGAAATTTTGATGCTTCTCTCTTTTGGTTGCAAACGGCGCATTAGGCTTTTGATGGGGGAGGGATGGATTAGAAAATTTCTTGTAATGGCTTATGGCTTGGATCGTATTCTTCATGCGTTACCCTTTGCATTGAAAGACAATAGGTCAAGAAAGAGAGGTTTTTGCGGGCATGTGTGTGGATAGTACAAGTTCTCGCATGATGTGGCGAGCATTTTGGGTTCAAGTGGCGGAGTTCCGTGGGCTCTTTTTACTGTCTTTTTTGAACGCAACAACGCGGAACCATCCCTATTCAGACAAGGTGGATGACTTGCCATAAGTTAAAGTTACGGTCTTGATACGAACACGAGCAAAAATATAAGCTCATATAATGGAATTACCTTATGAAAAATCCCACTTCTCTCCTTTCGTGTTGTAGATTCGGCAGCGAACATTTTCTTAGGAAAAGTTCTGGCGGCTGTCTGCTCCGAGGAAAAGTTTACTCCTACATTAGATTGCCGAGGTCTTTGCCCTGCCGAGCCGGCAACGGAATGCATTCAGGACGTTTTCCTTTGAGTTGCTCGGTCTTTTTTTGGTCTTGAATGTTTGTTCGCTTTGACAGGTTGGTTCGCACGGATATGACAACCGAGCGAACGTTTACGCAGCAAAACGCCTTTGTTTCCGGGGGCGGCAAGAACCTTATTTCGGGGCATGTCAATGTCATGCCGGTACGCCGGTTGGATTTGAACATGCGGCTGGGCTCGAAGTTTCAGTATTCCATGGTGGTGGTATCTTATTCTTGCCGTTCAGACTTGAGACGATGTTCTCCAAGAAAGCGGGCGTGGAGGCGATTCCCGGCCTGGAAAAGCGAGGTTAAGAGAGGGAATATTGGTTTGATGTAGGAATAAGCAGGTAGTACTAACAAAGTAACCGAAAAAGCCTAAATCCTACAAAGCTCGGACTGCCATGTAGTGAATTGATCGGCTTCAAGGGGAGGAGAGGAGCCCCAGAGGTCTGGGTGTTGAAATAAGATTCTGGGGGGCATGCAAGGTCAGCATTTTGCAGTTCCCGTGTCCCAGCTGTCCCAGGATTAAGGAAGCGACCATGACAGCGGAAAATGACAGTCTTCGATTGGCGTTCCGTTCCTCCACGCCCCAACCGTGCCAGCCTAGCCCTCGGGGCGTGTCCTTGGGGCGGGAATGATGGGCACATGGCGGTGCCGTTTGATCCGAGTGTTTGCGGCGGGCGGGGCGGACGGGGTATGGAGTACACGGGACTCCACTACCGCCCGGAGCGTTGGAGTGTACGGAGTACGGAGTGGAAGTGGTGCTGGGTTGGACCCACTCTGGATGCCGCGGGCGCCGGGTTCCCGTGGAGGAAGTGCGGTGTTTTGATTACCCCGCCGCGACTCCCTTATCTGATCCTCTACCCGCCTCTCTACGGCTCGGGGGATTAGTTTAGCTTGCGGTCTTTAGCTCCGTTGTTAAGCGTCACCCGGGGGCCGTGATCGGATTCGCCGCCCGTCATATGGCGCCGGCCCTCCCCTTAATTATGTGGCCCTGGCCGGTTTGGTGACATTCGGGGGCTTGGCGAGCGAGCCGATGCTGGGCGTTCGAGTACAGATGCCCCGAAAATTGTTGCTGACCGGGGCGAGATGCGATCAACCAGAAACGTGACCTAAGCCTTTGCCTCCCCACGCTCCCCGGACCCCGACTAGATGAACTGGGGAGCAGCTTCGATGTGAGATGGGGGACTATTATTGCTGAAAGAAGTCCGTTGCAACGTCGTTATATTTTTCCGCCTTGGCGGTGCATGATGCAGTGCATCATCGAGCTCCCTCCCCTCCTTTTTACCCCCTCGCTGATTCCACCAACAGGTCTTGCGATATTCCTCCATTGAGAGGTGTTTTTGAACCCTGACTTCTTGCAGGGTCTTTCTCTGTCCAACTAGAGGGCTCAATTCGACGTTGTCAAGGCGCAGTTGCTTGCATGTGCCATGCACTGCGGATGTTTATCGGCGCACCGGAAATTGGGGGACGACTGAAGTCGTCATGAAGGCCTCCAGAATTTGTCCATGGTGCGGTTGTACGCTGCGGACTGCGGTCAAGGGTGGGTGATGGGTATGGCGTTACCAAGAGGTATATAGGCAAGCAAGTCCATACTAGTGATTCCAACACATCTGGTCCTCCTACCCAGCGTTCATCTCGTACATTGGAGGTTCACTGCTAGACCCCCTGGGCTTCTTTCAAACTCCTCTCATCCTCCCCAGCACCCAAGATGCGCGCCTCTGCTTCCCTCTTAGCCCTCGCCGGCACCCTCGCCCTAGCCCAAACCCCTTCCCGCCCCTACTCAACTTGGCTCGCGTCGTCCTTCGTCGCCCGCAAAGCCCCCATCGACGCAGGCTACGGCCCGGCCGTTCTCTACGAAGGCATCGCCCGCGCCGCCGCCGCCGCCTCCAACGCGACCCTTCTCCGCGCCGCCGAGACCGCCGTCTCCTCCCTCGTCTCCGATGCCGGTGTCCTCGACGGCTGGGACCCGGAGTGGTACTCCCTCGACGACATCCGCATCGGCAACAACCTCCTCTGGTTCTACCAGCGCAACACTACGGCGGGAGCGAAGTACAAGATCGCGGCGGACGGGCTGCGGCAACAGTTGAACCGGTGGCCGCGGACGCCTAGCGGCGGGTTCTGGCACCGCGCGCCGATTTACGAGGATCAGATGTGGCTGGACGGTATCTACATGGCCGATTCGTTTTATGCGACCTATGTCTCGCTGTTTGAGAAGGGGAATACCACGGCGTGGGGGGAGATTGCGCTGCAATTTGATCTGATTGAGGAGCATACCCGGAACCACACGACAAACTTGCTTGTGCACGGGTACGACGAGGCAAAGGACGCCGTCTGGGCGGATCCCGTGACGGGAGCGAGCCCGTTGGTGTGGAACCGTGCTGTCGGGTGGTACTTCATGGCGCTCATTGACACGCTGCAAGTGTATCCCAAGAACCTTCCGGGATACGCGCGGCTACAAAAGTACTTTGTCACCCTGGCGGATGGGTTGGCAAGAAGCCAGGATGCGTCGGGAGGGTGGTGGCTTATTATGAACGAGGGGTACCAGACGCGCAAGGGCAACTACCTTGAGTCGAGCGCCGCAGCCATGTTTGCTTACGGTCTGCTGCGCGGTGTTCGGGATGGGTTCCTCGAGGCAAAGTACAAGGATGTTGGACTCAAGGCGTACAAGGCGCTTGTGAGGGATTTTATTCGGGATGATAAGAATGGGCTCATTAGCTTCACGGGCACGGTGCAGGTTGGGAGTCTGAACTCGAACGCGAGTTTTGAGGTAAGTTGCTAGTGTTATTACGCTGAACCCCCATCTTGAGAGTTGCTTTGCTAATTAGAGTTTCTAGTACTACACCAGCATCCCTATCGTCGAGAACGATCACCGTGGTAGCGGGTCTTTCATGTTTGCCGCTATCGAGGCCGAGCTGGCGAAGTAGACACTGGATCGAGAGAAGATCATAGACCCGAGCCCTAGAACAGAAATAAAGCCTCCATATACGGCGTTGCAGCTCCAGCCTAGCTTCGTGTCAATGCCCTTGTGTGACAGTGAAGACCTGGCTAGGCCACTACAAAGCCTTGTGCGGCGAAATGCCACCTTTTTTATCTATACAGTGTTCAGAGGGTTCCTCTCTCTGAGCCTTTGCCCATATCGATACAACAGAAGAGGGATCGGAACCATGGCCAAACTGACAAAACCAAGCACCGAATTGCCCCATCCTAGGCCAAGGTTTCTGTATAGACTAGGCCCGACCAGAGGAAGCAATCCACCTATAAGACAGCGAGCTGAAGTAACGCAGGCGTACGAAGAGGATGCATAGGGCCCAGAGGCATCAATCAAGTAAGCCTGAGAAGACGCGTTGATCCCAACCTGAGCAAAGCCAAACGGCGCCAGACTGATCAAGGGGACGATCCAATGCGTCCTCGAATACGTTGACCACCCATACCAGAAAAACGTGACGGGGATGAATAGGGCTGGAATGAAGGCGGTGACCAGTCTCATCTCTGGCTGGTACAGGCCGCCATTCTTCTTTGCGAGGCGTGCGGCGATGAGGTCTGAGGTTTTGGCGAAGAGGAGGAGACCGATTAAACTTCCGAAGCCGAGGCCTAGGTAGGCGAGTCCAGCTGTCTCGAGGGGCCAGCCGTAGACTTCCTGGAAGAAGGAGGACGTGGATGTGAGGAGGATGTATAAGAGAGCTGAGATGAAGCCCGTCATGATGCAAAACACCGGGACCAGAGGTGAGCGGAACAGCATCTTCCAGGGGCGGCGGAGTGCTTGACCCAGTGTCTGAGGATTCTTCTTGGACGAGGTCCCGACCTGGTTGTCGTAGAAGCTCAGCAAGTCCGTCCTCCCCGTCTCCTTTCCAATACGCAATGCCTTCCGACGCAAGACAATGTGCGCATTTGTCTCTGGCGTGAAAAGGTTCATGAGGACCGTCACAATGGCAGATGCGATAAGAAGCGTCCAGAAGATCCAGCGCCAGCCTGCGCGTTGCGTGATGATGCCCCCGAACAAGGGCCCGAGCACGGGTCCGAATAGAGAACCCGTCGTGATGACTGCGTTTGGTACCCCGCGTTGGTGGACATCATAGAGGTCTGCTAGCATTCCGCCTGCGACGGAGAAGCATGCCGAGGCGCCGAAGCCTGAAATTGTGCGGAAGGCGAGGAGGCACCCGATGTTGGGGGACAGGGCGCTGCCGACGTGGGTGAGGGTGAAGAAGATGTTGGCGTAGTAGAATACTGGGCGTCGACCGTAGAATTCGCTGAGAGGTGAAAGAAAAAGAGGTCCGACCTTGAAAAGGGCTGATAAGCACGTGCATTGTAATGATTAAGTCGTGATTGTAGTTGTTTATACTCACAAGGTAGCCAAAGACGTAGATAGTTGTAACCATTGAAGAAACTGTCGATGAATCATTGTGAAACTCAGAGTCAATGCTTGAAGCAGCTGGTGCGATGACTGAGGACGTCAAGAAACTATTAGGAGAATGGCATCAGGTATTTGTTTTATACGCTTCAGCATCTAGGCGAGACTGCGAACCTGAGCACTATCATGCAGCTAAGAAGAGCCAGGATGGTAGATTTCCTCGTTGACGGGAAGTTTCTGCGTCACATCAGTATCATTGAATATCAGATCCAGACATAGAGTTTTCGACTTATTGTCATATAATTCTCACCTTGGGTTCTGGGTGTCATGCTGGTCATCCCATGCTACCATCCCCGTGTCAAGATCAGTCACAGGATCGGACCCGGCAACATCGTTGGGCGAATTGACGTCAACAGCACCCATTTTATAGATCAGGGGTAGAAGTACTTGAACAGTTGATAGGAAAGGCTCAAAGGACAAGTTAATTGCTCATTCTCAAAATCTCCTTGAAATACTCTACTTCGTCAACACTTAGACTAGGTTCGCCCGATCGGCCGATCGGCCAAAATGGGGCACGCGGGGAAACCTCGGGAGGCGCACCGAACCGCAAACGCCATCATCATCTTTCCATTTAGCATGACTCTAGCTCATGATTCAATTTACCGAATTCATCTTACCGACTACAAGCTCTCTTCTCACAACTTCCTGGATCTCATTGGACCAGACCTGCGATGAGTGATCAAAGACGTCTGGGACCACGAGACCGTCCTTCTTGCAAGCCCTGTCGTGATCGCAAAGTCCGCTGCAATCGGGGCCTCCCTTGTTCGCAGTGCACTCGCTTACAGCTCTCATGTGTGTTCGAGGCCAGAACGAGAAGAGCCCCCGTAAATGCCCGATCAGTCAAGTCCTCTTCGCCATGCGATGCGAACGTACCATCGTTTTGCGAAACTCCTGTAGTTCATCAAGTAACTGAGTCATCGTCACAACCTCCTGCAGAGCAGACGATACAACCGACGAACCAGGAAGTTCTCGACCGACTTGCTCGAGTTGAAGGGCTCTTATCCAATCTTGTCTCCTCTCTTCGTAATGGAGCCCCGGTGCAAGATCCGTGTAGACAGAGCAAGCCTGGGTCGGACCCCGTTTCGGCTCCACCGATCCTGCCATCACAAGAAGTCCTTGTCGGAGACGGGGAGAGAGGAAACTTTGTAGATGATTCAGTATTTGTGGGCTTATTTCTTGGGGTAATGGCTCGAGCAACTTCTAGTCTTGAGAAAACATGTTGATATCTCCTAGGACCCGCCTCGACAGCGACCCATAGCCGGCACAAAGACTAGAGATCCCAGACCCAGCGCAACAACTCAACATATATCTCCCCACTATGGCATAGCTGCCACGGATGTCTTTGGATCTGACCCGGAGACCGTCTCAGTACCTCCTCACGTCCTTACCAGGCTATGGATCGTCTATCTACAAAACGTGGATCCCTTGATCAAAATACTCCACATACCCACGATCCAGCCAGTGATGCTTGGTGTCGCAGCCAAACCTCAAGGAGCAGACAACATCACACAGGCTCTTCTTTATACCACTGCCTTTGCGGCAACGACCAGTATGTCTAGCACCGAGGTTGCAACCCAACTGGGTATTGAAAGGCTGGTCCTCTTGCGCCACTTTATGCGGGAAATAGATGGCGCATTCACGAGGGCTCAGTTCTTACTTTATCCAAACGTGCAGGGGTTGAAGGCTCTGGCAATCTACTTGGTACGGCAATTTGGATTCCACTAATACATTACCCATTGCTGATCACGCATACACAGACTGCACTAAGAACCTTCGACACCGGCCGAACCATCTGGACGCTCACCGGCCTCGCTATCAGAATAGCAGAATCCCTCGGCGTACACGAAGACGGCTCCCGTCTCGGCCTGGGCCCCTTTGAGACGGAAATGCGTTGTCGTCTCTGGTGGCATCTCACCGCCCTAGACGCCACGGCGCCCGAAAGCCACGGATTCAACAACACAATGGCCGACCGCGGCAAAATCTTTCGCTTGCCGCTGAATGTGAATGATACCGAGCTATGGCCCCAGATGGACGAGGCCCCTGCCGGAAGAGACGAATGGACCGAGACGACCTTTTCCATCATGAACCTCGACCTCTGCCGCAACCTACGCCACGCCGTCTCCGCTGTCGGGGCGGCGGACGAGCAAACGAGGGAGGCCAAGATCCAGCTGACGGAGTCCTCCATGGCCCATCGCTGGCTCCGGTTCGCACCGAAGAATAGTGACCTATATCGTGCCGCGGAGTCTTTGCTTCGGATATCCGTAGCCAAAGCGCGCTTCATCTTGATGCTCCAAGCCTGGCTCTCGGCGCCAATGCAACAAGAACGCAGGTACCGGTACCTGCCCCATTCCTTGTTCATCACTGCCATCGAATTGCTCGAGCAAGGGTACCTGCTTCAATCAGGAAAGCTTTTCCCCGGCTACGCCTGGTTCTATCAGCAGCATCCGCAATTATACGCCCTGTTCCTCACGCTCCGCACGCTCGTCGATTCGCCTGAACGAGGGGAGGCAGAGCGCGCTTGGCTTGCAGTGGATAACTACATCGCCTGCCTCGCTGACTTTGAAGAAGCGAATGAGCGGAGGGGGAAGAAGAGTTGCGTGTGGGCGGCTATGGGGCCGTTGCGAGACCGGGCGAGAGAGTCGACTCGACAGCGCGAAACCGCCGAGGAGACGTCGATACTGGTAGCAGCGTCCCCAAAGATGCCATCTGGGGAGAATCTTGGCACTGGACTATCACAACCGTGGAATGCAATCGCGCTTGAGCCGCTGGCGTTTGATAACATTCTTACATGGCATGATTTCTCAGATCTATTTGATGTCATTTGAGATCGAGGGATAGACAATCTGACAATTCGCTTGCCAGCTTTGCTAAGTACACTGGAATAAATTGCTCCTTGGACCTGATGCGGTTGAAAGCAAACGAGTCCAGAAATGAAACATGAAACGGAATTTCTTCCATCCAATTTCCTTCATCGATTCGAGTTTGCCAAGAAAGCCTGGAAGCAAATAGGCTGAGTGTCCTCGGTCAGAGAAGCAGGTCTAATTACTCAAGAGTAGGTGCGTTAAGGGTTTTCTTCGGAGAAAGGCGTAGATTCGAGTGAAGATCAACCCGCGTCCTTGTCTCAGGGTTTAACTTCGTAAACCCTATTTAGGTAGGTAACATAGTAGGAAGCTTCCTGGCTCCAGGCTTCCGCTGAAGATCGGTCATGAATAACGGGCCCAACGCTTCTCAAGTAGATTGTGCCGCTTGATGGTGTTGACAGATACGTGTGTGTTTTATTAGTGGTCGGCATGATCTTGTTCATGATTTTGAACATTGGCTATTCACTCCGTGGCCAAGCCCGACTGGCGCTAAGCCTAAGTTTGGGAAAGGATACCGATAGGATGCGGATATCTTTCGCGAAACCTAGAATTCAAGCGTTGCGAGCCTACGATGTGGATTGTTGCCAAGTCATATAGTGCCTTTGACAAGTTTCCAATGATTCATGGCGCTCCACGAGCAATTGCCTTTCGAGCCTTTTGATTTGGTTGATTGATAGCTGCCTGGTCGCCTCCATCGCCCAAAGCTTCCCAATGCGGTTAGGAACTAGCGAAAGCACAGTAAGCTGTGCCTTGGTAGCACCTTGCCATGTCGCCAGCTGAGAGAGAGCTGCATGGGCACCAGGGCAAAATCGCTTGATGCAAGCAAATGATTGGGTGAAAATGGTCCCATTACAGTATGCATTTTTATCGAAGGGGGGAAAGGAAAGCCGCTTAGCCCAACGCAATTAGTTTGAGATGTGGAACGCTGCACATATTCGTTAGTCGTCTTACACACCATCTTTCGTATTTCCAAGTAAAGAGAGCCGTACATCCTACTTGTGGAGAAAAATAAAACGTGGGTGGATCGGTGAAAACATGGTGGAGACCAACAATTTGAGTCCGAGAAGTTGGCGATGATGCCATACAAACATGCTGCGTAATAAGCGAACACACCTGTTGTTCGTTCTCATGGAATTATGAGCTAGGTCCTGCACTTGTTCTGCTTGCTGATGTTGTTGTGAAATAGGGCCTGAACGCTCATTGGTTACCAACATGCTGTCCGGTGCATCGGTCTTTCGCCTATATATGGCTCTTACAGCGAAGATGTATGCAAGTACGAGCTTTCAACCGCATAGTATACCGGCCGTAAAATCACCGCCGCTGCATATCCCAGTGGCTTCCACTTGAACATGTGGCCTACCTCTAAGGGATCAACGATACGATGTACGGGTGTCTCCGCTCTGCTGGAGCGGCGCCAACGACGATCATGGGCCGCATATGTAGGCCGGCGTGGACAGCATGATCGTGACCAAGTCTAATTTATTGAAGTTTTTAACTAACAAATTTGCGATAGGACGAAAAGTACGAAGTGCCTCTTGAGCCACTTTGCGCTGTGATCGAGAATATCCAATTCAGGAATCCCTTTGTAACATGATTCTCATTGCCTGTTGCAAAATTCCTCCACTTCTTGAGCTTGTGTCGTTATCAATATTCTTTACAGAAGATCTTCCTTCCCACGCGGAGGTACCGGAATGACATGCACTCAGGAACCGGTTGGTCTACCAGTCCGAGACCGTCAGGCCGTCAGCAATTGGTAACCCGAAATGGAATATCTCACGACCCAATTTTGTCGGAAATTCCACGTTGGGCGCCACAGCATTCCCCGAAACGCAGGCACAGGGTCTCGCAAAGGTGAAGGGAGAAAACACGTCGTGCCACCCAATCATCCGTTCTGCACTTCTTTCGCACGTAATTAATGGGCGGCATGGGGGATCCGAAGAAACGCAGTCGTCCGCGTAGTCTGGACCTGCAGACATTCAGGTAGGACAAATGCAACAGTCTGCCCAACGTCTGCGCATACAAGCAGAAGAACGGTGTATATATCCCCAAGCACAGTCCACCTTTGTACGCAGTGCATGCCCTCTTGTTCGATATTACCAATCATTACCGTCAGAGAGGCGACGAATAATGAGAGGCTCATCCAAGCGCTGCTGCTCTCCTTCTGACATGGAACTCGGCGACGGGTCTTAGCTGCTTGGGCTAGCCGAACCCCCGGGTCCACGGTCGATGCAACCCTCCACTATCTGATATCTGGCACCCTAGAAGTAATACTAGTGGAGAAGGTTCTCATTAGGACCAGGATGCATACCATAGAGCTGGTTGTCCAAAATAAGTTCGGACGATCGGATAATGATGGGATTATCTGGCAGGCGCTACCTACCACTCTTTTCCTCCTTCCATCCCATTAAGTAAGTAAGGGCCTGCCTAATTTTTATACACAAATTTCTGCCCCAGAGACACGCTGTACCTGGAGTATTCACAAACATCTCCGGACAGACAAGCCCTACCGCACTTATTCCTCTTACTACCTACTAAGCCAATTCCTCTTTCCCCCTTGTATTGTAACCACTTACCCAATTCAATCGAGACTGGACTTCACCCCAACACCAACATTCCGATATTGGGATATTGGAGGTGGCCAGCATGGAGAACATTCTCGACAGCCACCCCGAGTATGTATCGACTTCGCGGCTAGATGATCTGCGCGCTACTGAGTATGGCTACCTCGACGAGCAGGACCACGTCTACCTCGACTTCACAGGCGCAGGACTCGCCGCCCGATCCCAGATCCGAGCCCACGAGACTCGACTCCAGCAAACTCTTTGCGGCAACCCGCACTCTATCAATCCGACGAGTCAATCCGCTACTCACCTCGTCGAGCAGGCACGAGCCCGCGTCCTATCCTACCTCAATGCCTCCCAGGAAGAGTACACTGCAATCTTCACTCCAAACGCAACAGGCGCCGCGCGGCTCGTTGCGGAATCATACCCCTTCACGAGACGAACCAGACTGGTTCTCACGTCCGACAACCACAACTCCGTCAACGGCCTCCGAGAATTCGCACGCCGAAAACACACACGAACCACTTACGTTCCAGTCCGCGCCCCGGAGCTGAGGATAGACCCGTCTGACCTCATGTCAGCACTAAACCTTCGCAGAGGTGGCTTATTCGGCTCAGCTGCAGCTGCAGCTGCGAAACTAGCTCTGACCCCACGAACCACCAACGACGACGCGGTCAACACCAAATCCAAAAAGAGAGGTCTATTTGCGTACCCTGCCCAAAGTAATTTCAGCGGCGTCCGTCATCCACTGTCATGGATCAGCGTCGCGCAGAAGCAGGGGTATGACGTGCTCCTCGATGCGGCGGCGTATCTGCCGACCTCCAGACTCGATTTGTCCGCAGGATCCGGTGTCCAACCGGAGTTTGTCATCGCGAGCTGGTACAAGCTATTTGGCTACCCGACCGGCGTTGGCTGTCTGATTGTACGACGCGATGCTCTGGCGAAGCTTGCCACCTCACGACCTTGGTTTTCAGGTGGAACCATCACAGCGGCATCGGTTGGGATTCCCTGGCATGTCATGGCGCCGGATGAGGCTGCCTTTGAGGATGGAACGGTCAACTTCTTGTCAATACCGGATGTTACTGTTGGGCTGGACTGGTTGGAAGGCATTGGCATGCCGTTGATCGACACCAGGGTCAGGTGCCTCACCGGCTGGTGCCTCGATCGTTTACGGAATCTCGAACACAGTGACGGGTCTCCCATGGTCAGGATATACGGCCCGACGGATATGAAGCTGAGAGGTGGAACGATTTGCTTCAACTTTTTGGACATTGGTGGAAGGGTCGTCGATGAGAGACTGGTTGCCAAAGAAGCCTCTGTCGAGAACATATCACTACGAACGGGCTGCTTCTGCAACCCTGGTGCTGGAGAAGCTGCCTTTGGTCTGGACAAGAGGGCTTTATTACCGCTCACCAGCATTCAGAGTGACTCTCTGGACGACTACGTCAGGCTTTTGGCACCTGTGGGTGCCGTACGGATCTCGTTTGGGTTCATGACGACGACAAAGGACGTGGATCGCTTGCTGGACTTTGTAAAAGTGAGATACACCGACAGGCTGACAACAGCTAATGGCCTTCCGCCACACGAACACTGTTGAACATGATTGTTACCTCAATGAACCACCTTTTGTTCAATAACAAACTCCCTTGTTCGCATTAAAATACACTGCCCAATACACTGCCCGAGTGTATCTGTCTTATTCTGGGGCTTATTTAGAAGTAGCCGTTACTAGTATAAGCAGCAGCTACGAATTATTGATCACAATATACTAAAAACGTAAGAGCTTTATTATTAAAACATAATTCCTTAACAATCATTCGGATATGTTTAATTTACAAATATAATTTCATACAGAGTGAAAATATATATAATTTATTGAGACTTTAAAAAGTATTTGATAATTTATAAAAACAAGCATTTTATAGGCTTTTAGTTTTATATTTTTAAGATTATATTGAAAACAAAGAGAGTAATATGTATAATAATATTGAAAAGATTAATATTATTTAATTCCGTCTCAAGAGGCTACTTATATAAACGATAAGAATATAAAAACGAATACTAATAAAAAACATACTAAAAATAGATAAGAGAAGATTAATTCTCTAAGATATCGGAAATATAATAGAAAGTTGGGCTATAATGTTATTCTGAGAAAAGATAAGGTAAGGATCTCGTTAAACCCCCACTACACCTAGGTTCGCCCCTCCCACTGACTTTTATATTTAGTTACGAGAAAGGATATAGGTTACTGTTTAGATAATACACTACTCAGAAAAGAAAATGCAAACGCCTCGCGACCCGACAGCGTACAACGTCGTTGGATATGGAAAGGGAAGCCCGAGGAGTTTAAAGTAGGCATGGATTTGAAATCGGGGACGCTGAACTTCGTAGGGGACTTGTCACTAATGCCTTCGTCTCAATCTCAGCCATAAAACACAACAGTCCCGAAAAGCACCAGCAACAGCCCGGGGGTTGTGTACAGAGAACCTTGATTCAGTGGGCCCTCGACCATATTAGGTCTGTAAATGACCTCCTCTGTCAGGCGATGAGCTGCTTGCGGGTCGTGAGCAGGGAGCAGCACAACGTTTCCGCTCCTAGAAAACTCTTTGATTTTCCTGAGAGAATCAACTGCCAGCGCCGGATTGCTGTTGACACCATCCGTAAGCTCCTGGTCGAGTAGGTCCTGATCATATGTAGCATCCCCAAGTAGGAGATACGAAACATCATCAGCACGAACAATGACCGAAAGATGTCCTGGCACATGGCCGGGTGTGTCGACAGCCACGACCTTTCCATCTTCGGTGATGGGATAGCTCTGGTTCCATGGACCATTGAGGCCACCGGTTGGTTGAAGAATGGAAGGTTTGAAAGATGGTGGCCATTGGTTCGGAACGGCCCCTTCCATTGTAGCATGAAATGGCGTCTTGTACGCCTGCCAATGTTCTTCGGTGATCCAGACCGGTGCTCCGACGAGGTCGGGCAGCCCGTCACCATGATCATGATGAAGATGGGATGAAACGACTGCCTTGAGGTCACCTGGAGTAAGGTTCTCTTGCTCAAGTCGGGAGCCAATGCCCTCATCTTTTCCTACATCGATATCGACAGCAAGATGGAAGAAGGGCATCCAGAGTGGGAAATAACCGGGCTCCATACTGTGTGGCGACTCGCCGGAGTCGAACAGAATGGGCCCCTCTGGATGATCGATCAAGTACGTGTTGATAGGCAACGGATCTGTCCAGGATGTGTCCAGCAAGACTGACAGGCGGCGCAGGAGTACAGCTTTATTGGCAGGCTGATGACGGTGGGAGGGGCGGATTCTTATCGACCCTGTCTGGAGAATCTTGATGCTGATGGCCATTTTGAAGTTGCGATGGAAAGGTATAAATAAGTGCAGACAAGTTCATAGGAATTGGTTCATACGGAAAAGAGACTGAATGGTGTTGATGTGGATGGATAGTATTTATTTGAGTCCGCGAGATATTGACTTTGGGCGTCTGAATGCAGTCACGTACTTTGTGCCCCTGGGCACGATGAAGACATTCATGCCGGTGGGATATGCGTCATGGACCAATCTCCTTAGACGCTCTGGCAGCACGGCGATTGGCGAACGCCGTTTTCCGTGATCGGAGGTTATAGCTACCGGCGTTCGCCTTCTGGTGATTTACAGAGCATTATGTGTTTAGGCATCGGAGACGGACGCGCCAGTACGGCCCCAGGCTCATCCGATGCCCGACTTTCGTCCTGTGAAAGCCTGCCCTTTTCAACCCCGTCGTAATTGCTTGGCCAAGATCTCCCGGTCGCCGACGGAAACCCGCGACAGGGACGCTTCCATCAAGCAGTGCGTGTGAAGAATGTCGCTTGGAGAGCACGCCCCTCATGCGAATGAGAAGGACTGAAAGGTGGAAGAAGCGATAGCTACTCGAATCGCGTAACGCGCACGGGGTTTAAGGGAGAACGAAGGCGCCTCTTGTTCCACAAGTAGTGCAAGGATAGCCCGAGTTTCCATCTAATCATTGCCGAATTTCGCAGAAAAATAAAGGTATTGAACATAGTCCATAGACAGACGCGGAAGTAAAAGTATTGACTGGTGTATTACTAGTAGTTTGATCTTGTGGAGTCTCGGGTCTCGCTTGGGTTGGCTGATCTCTTGACTAGTTTCTCGTGACGCATTTGAAGTAAGCAGCAGGCGTTATTCAATACTCGAATAGCCCTTTATATCAGTCCCTGAGGAAGAGCTAGCTGAATACTATATAGGACGCAGCTCGATTAGGTATAACATTTTCCGTCGTTACGAGTTTCAATACTGATTTGCTATACGAGGCTTCCTGGGGCGCAAATCTGCTCCATGTTATAAAGAAGATAGAAGCTACGCGGGTAACTTCGATTTTATATTGTTTATTTCATGAGATTGAACCAGTAGGTACTTGAGTAGCCTATACATAGTTCACAATTCGCGATAATAGAGCGAAATGTACATTACTTGACGCGGCTAGGTAAAGCTGCAGCTTCTTCATCATTGGTATCCGTCGAGCTACGCTAAAGAATCTGCTCTAGTCCTTGGACTTGGGCTTCAATCCTCCGGCAGGCACCCTTCCTCTAACAGCAAAGCTTTGGAACTCACAACCCTTCTCTGACAGCTCCTGACGAACTCTGGCATCGAGCGTGTCGAGTTGTTCGGGCGAGAACCCCTGAAGCTCTGGCAGGGCTGAGCCTGACGTTAGCCTAAGCAAAGAAAACGGGCGTGCGATTGGGAACTTACTCCGGGCCATAGCCACGATCATAGGACCAGCGCCAGCAGCGCCATTGATGCTAGCTTCTTTGAGCTCAGGCTTCGCCTTAGCACCAACCTTACATGCCAAGACATCGACCTGAACGTTCTCGAGACCGGCCGCTTCCATCCAGTCCTTCAAATTGGGACCAAAGTTCCCGCCCATCTTCTTGATGATCCAAATCTGCTCCAGCAGATGGAAGAACTCGCGAGCGACTGTGCCTTCGCCCAACAGACTCTGGTCACAGTCAAGCTCGACAAGCTCAACCCAACCCCCCGGCTTAGCCAACGCGCAGAGATTGGCAACAGCCTGCTCGAGAGCGAAGTTGCCGCAAAAGCCCAGCACCTGGCGCTGGTGGACAACATCAAATGATTCTTGCCACTCGACAGGCCAGGCCTCGGTGATAGACTGTTTATAGAACTCGATGCCATCGGGTCGAGGATTGGGGAAAAGTGCTTCAACTAGGTCAGTGCCAATGAAGGTTTGCTGTTCAGCGGCAGGTCCAGCTTGCTTCCGAAGGTCCTGCAGCCAGATGCCTAATCCGATGGTCAGCCATAACATGCACAGCTGCATGTGGAAAAACTCATACCATCTGCCGTTGCGGAGTCCAAGACCCTGAGACCGGGCTTCTTCCAATCGATTGGAATGAAGGACAGCTTTCCACCGGCAGCATCTGTGTAGACGAGGTGGTTATCAGTCAAGCGGGAGATTTCTTCTTCCAGGCCACGTTTTTTAGCATCTGCCATGAGTTCGTCCATGCCAGTGCCGTTGGCGATGCCGGCATCAAGCTCGGCTTGCGGAGGGGCAGCGGTGTTTGTAGTAGCCATGTTGGTCGACGAAGCTTAGAATGAACTTGGGTTTTCAAAACGAGTTGTAAAGAGGAAGTGAGAATGTGGTGCGCAGCTGGAAGATGAACTCACAACCTTTTCTGGTGATGTGTTGAGGCCATTGCTTAATTATGTTTATTTCAATCATGTTTATTTCGTCATGTCCCGTTGTCTAATCTTGGCGGTTACAAAAGCTCTAAGAGCTTGTATCTCAGACAGGCTAATCCTCAAGTCCCTATTCCATTTCCTGCCAAGTCTAGTAAACATCAGGCAGCAGGCAACGTTCCGGTAAGCCACGGAGGATTCGCCAAGGTGAGACATTAGGGCGTAACGACGTCGAAGTGGAACTATGCTGGTGTGAACTTACGGATAGTTGCATAAATGACGTTGAGGGACTTTGGAGATACCCCTTGACACTTCGCCCCGTCAATGGGATAGCTCTCATCAACCCCCGCCACCACCCCTCTCTTATGCCCCGGTCCCGAAGGATCTAACTAGTCACTTGCAGGCCATCCTTTGCCGCTCGGCATGAAGGATGGAATATCCCAGTCTGTAGATAGTACGACGCACCCCTCCCAATAATTATTGGTCTTCCTCATGGGGGCTTCGTAAAGAGTGGTGCGGGAACTTTTGATGACAGTCACCCTTTGTATTCATGGGTATCATCTCTCATGCAATCATCTGACGATATTTTCTCAGACATTGCTTCCTAGTCTTCCGTGCGAATTAGGTCATGGAACATCTATGACTGAATCAAGGCGAATATTACGCCGAAAGCTTAAGCTCGGCGACCGCTGGCCCGAATCATTGCCTTGTAGAATCTATTCTTGATTCCTTGGTTTAGCGGCCGTATTCTTTCATGAATCTGAGTTGCGGTGGCATTATCCTTGAGTTTCCAGTCATTCTGAGCATTTTTGGTGCCCCAAAACACTTTTTGCACTCTGCGGTGAACAGCTTCCATGATGGACTTCACTTGGGATTCACTGAGCACATTCAAAGCTTTGGTGTTACTTCTACTGCACTATTCTATCATTGTGGTGGCCTACCGCTTATTTTTTTCACCGCTGAGAAACATTCCCGGCCCGAAACTTGCCGCGATAACATTTTTGTACGAATTCTACTACGATGCCATCTGTCGTGGGCGCTTTCTGTGGAAAATCCAGGACTTGCATGCCAAGTACGGTCCCATAGTCAGGATCAACCCTCGCGAAGTTCATATCAACGACATCACATTTTACGACGAGATCTACGCTAGTGGACCACATCGACCTCGGAATAAGATTCGGTTCATGGCCACCCAAGATGAGAGCATGTTTGACACCTATAGCGCCGAAAGACATCGGATTCGCAGATCGGCGCTGTCTGGATCATTCTCTAAGCAGTCAATCCGTGCTCTGGAACCTCTCATCGTTCAGACTATCAATCAATTGGCTGGTCGAATGAGTGGCCTTGCTGAATCTGGGGCGGTCATAGACTTCAAAGAGCTCTATAGTGGCCTCACCATGGACGTCATCGGCCAGTACTGTTTCGGCGAGAGCATGGACAACCTCAAACAAGACAAGTTCGGCAAAGAGTTTCTTGACTTTTTCCATGAGATGCCGCAAGGTCACCCCATTGGCCGCATGTTTCCTTGGCTCTTCGACTTGATCCAGAAAATTCCCATCAGTGTCCTAGCAAAGATCGATCCTAAGCTTCAGCCTCTTGCAGACTATGACAAGAAGATCTCTGGGCAGATCACGGAGGTCCTTGCCAAAGACAAGCCCGATACGATACGAACAGTTTTCCATGAGATGAGAGACAGCAAACAACTGCCGGAGTCTGACAAGACTCTCGAGCGCTTTAAAGCCGAAGCGGCGATCTTTTTAGGTGCCGGCACGGAAACCACTGCCGCGGCCTTGACGGTCTTGAGCTATTATCTCACGGAGAACCCGCCTATGCTTAAGACCCTCCGAGCTGAGCTCAAGTCTGTGAGCCCACCTTTCACTGTGGCAAAATTGGAGCCTCTCCCATATCTGGTCAGTTGTCATGTTCCATAATAGCGAGTAATTAAGTCGCTTCTTCGCTAACATGAAAGCCCAGACTGGTGTCATACAAGAGGGCATAAGACTGTCTTATGGAGTACCGGGTCGTCTTCCGCGGTATGCTCCTACCGAAGACCTAATGTACTCTGGCTACAGGCTACCGCGAGGTGTAAGTACAACACAGTCCAAACTTACTCGGTCTTATACTTACCAATCTTCGTAGACCGTTATGAGCTCTTCCTCATACCTTCTTCATACGAACAAAGCGCACTGGAACAACGCAGACCAATTCAACCCCCAACGTTGGATCGATGATAAAACGAGGCTCATGCGCAATTTCGTGCCTTTTGCGCGAGGCAGCCGGCAATGTATTGGTGTGAACCTTGCCTATGCCGAGCTGTATCTCACTGTTGCCACGATATTCTCTAGGTTTGACTTCGAACTTTATCAGACTACACGGCGTGACGTTGAGCTTGCGCATGATTTCTTTGTCGGAATGCCTCCGCTAGATTCGGAAGGGATAAGAGCTCGCGTCTTCGAGCAATTGTAATTGAACGGAAGGAAACACTCGGAAGTTCGCTTACAAGATACCGTAGTAATTCAAAGTCCGTGATAAAGTTTTTCGGTATCCCTAACCATCCATTTACAGAGTTGTCAACGCATTGCTATACTACAAATGCAATAGCTAATTCCCTGTAAAAAGGATGGAAAAGCCCTGCAGATTAACTGAACGCATACCGATAATGTGTTGATCACATCTTGTGTACCTTTGGGGCCTTTACAATTCAAGACTCAGTGAGGTCATGGCATTCTACTCAAGCTTGGTTCATGCTGTGATGTGGCAAAGCTATTAGATTGCTATGGATGACTCGAAGACCCCATCAATTTCAACGTTGGCACTACATGTATTCTGGAGATAAATTGGCATGGAACCAGGATCCCAATATTCATCTCGCTTCTTAATACGTCTTGGACCGTTTGATGACTGCCATTAGAGGCGGCTTCGACCGTGTGCTATAAGTGAGTTGGCGATCCAGCCAATTCTCAGACGCAGCGTCCAAGGCTACGTCATAATTGAACAGTAGTTTACACAGGGTCATGCGTAGAACATAAAAGCTCAACCTATAGAGTTTCAGTATAATTCAACCAGACCTTGCAACGGGGGCGGTAAGACTAACTCTTGGCCGAAGCACGACTGGGGCCCAACTGAGAAGGGGTGCACGCTTCCTTTGTTATCGCCTAGACAGTCTTTTGGTCGTCCTCGATCATCCGGGAGCCATCGATCAGGAACAAATTCCTCAGGTCTGGCAAAGTTGCGCTCCACTGAGTAGGTGACCTGATGCAGCATCATGACAACAGTATTCCCAGGTACAAACTTGCCCGCAATCTGAGCTCCCGATAAAGGAACGCAGCGATCTGTGCCAGTTGCCGCTGGCGAGTAGCACCGAATTGACTCTTGCAGACATGCCTCTAGGTAAGACAGATCCTTTTGAGAACTGCTGAGTCTGTCCATGGTGATATCCGCCTCGGTTTTGAACACAGTCCTGACCTCCTCAAGCAAGCGCTCCTTGATAGCGCGGTTTTCCGCACGCGAGACAAAATAGACGAATCCCGTGAGTACAGTCGGCATGGCCTCGCAACCACCAAGCATCAGGAATGGAGCAAATTCCCTCAGCAGTTCTAGGGGCATCGTTCCTTGTCGTCCGCCGGTTTCGGACTCTCCATCCAAGACCATCTGTAGCATGTCATGCCTCGCTGTTGATAGGGCGACACGGCGATCAAAGCGTTCAAAGATTGGAGCCATGAAAGATTCACGCTCGCCGCTTCCCCATTTGTGAACGGCAAAAAGTAGAATCTTGTGAAGAAACGGAAACCGGTTCAAGACGGCTAGGATTGTGACACCCTTGGCAAACCGGTCGAAAGAATGCACCCAAGGTACGAATTTTGGGTCTGAGAAGAGATGGAGAGACTCGCCGAGAAACAAATCCGCTATGAGGTCGCAAATCAGAAAGCTGTTCATGTCGCGCATGTCGATAGCGGCACCATTGGCGGACTCCATAAAGGAAAGGTACTCGTTGATGTGGCCATTGATCATGCCCTCGATCTTCTTGACGTTATCGCGCTTTAGAGCCGGCACCATTGCCTTGCGCATGAGACTGTGCGTCTGTTGAGATCGTGGCTTCGCGGGGTCGGGATTGACAAGGTCGCCTCCTACGAGGGCTGCGAGACGAGGGTCTTTGGCCATGCCATCTTTGGCTGCTTTGGTGGCGCCGCAGATGTCGAACCAAGCACGCTCGTCTGTGAAAGTGAGGGCGTCGGGGGCGATACGGACGACACCGCCGTATTGGTTGTGGAGTTTAATCAGCCATGGAAGCTGGCGTCCTCGAACTGTGGCAATGAGATGGGGAATCCGAGAGACTGCGCAAAGTTTCGGACCAGGGAATGAAGATAACGGCGAGAAGTAGAGCTCTTTGACGATAGAGATGATGTACGCTCCGGTGCAAATGACAGCGACTGTAAATGTGAGACGCGATGTTGCAGTGAGAGCTTGCCAATTGGTAGTAATGTGGTCCCAATTTACGCCAGGAGTAACTTGAGTGTGGTTGACGTAGGTTTGGGAGGACATTTTGGTTCCAAATGAATTCTGGTGATACAGTCCAATGCGATCTTTGCAGTGCTTCAATTGTCCGCCAAGAATTCCTATAATGGCATCGACAATAATCCAAGTTCCAGAGATTGAATTTCTTTTACTAGCACCATCAGACACACATCTGTAATACAGGATCATGTCCGAGAAGCAATTACTGACTGTTGGGTTTCCAAATGCAAATGTGAAGCCAGTTGTTTGCTTCATCCACATGAAAGAACCTACCTGATGACGAATCCTGACTCGGGTCACAACCATTAGATCCTGGTTTTCAAAGGGAGTGATCCTAGCAATGCAAACATATCGTGCACTGAACCCATGAGAATGGCACGCTTCTGCCTGCGAATAGCCCGCATTTTCCGATGATCAAGATCTCGAACCATTACTCTAAGCGATGGAGCACAGAGTGTCTTGGCATGTCTACAAGGTATAGCTAATTCCAGAAAGCATTTGTCTACTTCAAGTTGCCGGTGAATCCTTGGCAACGTCCACTAATACGCAATTCTCCCAAAGCAGGTATTCTTTTCGATCCTACCCTAAACAGACTCGGGAAGGACTGGGAGCATTGGTTGCCCCTGTTACGTGAATTTGGGCTGGTCTTCCAGGGCGGTCTCTTGAATCCTTCGGACATGTGGGGTGCACAATTCTTCTCCTTCGCACCGTCCCGCTCGCGCTTACGAATTTCGCACGACCCAACGTGTCTATTCGGTACTCATCCAACCAAGCTGACAATATGTCAACCTGACAGCCACCCAAATGTGTGGTCTGACAAGGAGCTGGACGGGGAAATGCAGGCAGTGAGGACTAAAGTTCCAGCAGCAGCCTTATCTTTAGTTCATCTAGTATGGTCTCATCCGCACGTACGGGACTTTGGGTTTGCTCCCTGGCGCTGTGTAGATGCATCTAGCCCTGATCGACACTACACCCGCAGGGGTCACATCCTTGGTGCCTAGTTGCCGTTGGAAGTTTGTGTGTACTGCGCTTCCGAGCAAGGCATCAAGTTTCGACAATCCATAGACCAATACTGTTGGAGTTTTACGAGATTTGTCTCATCCTTGGCGTGTATGTTCAAACTTCACCCAAGGAGGAGAATCCTGGCACATGCATGTCTCAATGGAAAGCTGTTGAAAACTTGTGGAACACAATCTACATATTATAATGAGGTAAGACTGATACGATCGAAGCATGTCTCGGCGGCTGTTCCGACATTGTGGCTGGTCATGTTTCATGTCAGCCTATTTAGGCATGAATTACGTCTGAACTTTAATGTACAGTATCTACGTTAGAAAGGATGGTAATCGTTTTAAATGCATATCTAGACGACATAAATGAATGGCTTCATGCGTAGGGTGAGTTGATTTCTGGGTATACTACAACCAGCTTTCATGACAGTGGATGGTCCCATCGATACACCCCAACTGCATCCTTTCCGACCCCTTATTCTTACATGTAGTTTCTGACGAAATGCCTTCGTTACTTTCCGTCCTCAAACATAACGCCTCATTGTCAGCAAGGGAAGCAGGGTTCGTAGCCGTGTTTGCCGGAGCCACCAGTGGCATTGGCCTCGCTACCCTCAAAGTTCTCACCGTCAGTCTTGTGTCACCGCGCTTCTACGTAATCGGTCGATCGAAAGCCAGTTTTGCCCTTCACATCGCCGCCTTGCGACGGAGTAACCCCTCAGTCAGCATCCATTTCATTGAGACCGAGATAGCGCTCCTCCGGAATGTCATTGCCGTCTGTGAGAACATCATACGACGTGAGCCCCATGTAGACTTGCTTTACATGAGTCCAGGATCGTTGGCCTTTGGGGGACCACATTGTGAGTTTATTCAGAATGTCAATTTTCAGCTTTGTTGCCTGATTTCCATCTTCACGCCCCTTCCCTGTTCTGTGGGAGGCTAGTGGCTTCGTACTGCAACATCGTCCCGGGCTGTTCGTAAGAGTCTATCTGACCATCGGGAACCTAGATACAGAAGAGCGCCTTGACATTTGCTTCGCTCTGTCCCACTACATCCGCATCCGATTGATCCAGGGACTCATGTCTAGCCTCTTGAGAGCCAACGAACCCCGCATTGTCTCTGTCTTGGCCGGTGGGCACGAAAAGCCACTCTTCACTGAAGGAGGCGACTTGGGACTTCGGCTGGAGGGGAATTACACCGCGCCAAGAGCTGTTGACCAAGTCACCACTATTCACAGCCTTGCTCTCATGTTTCTCGCCAAGGCCCATCCTAGGATTTCGTTCCTTCACGTCTATCCTGGTTGGGTTTCTACGAGCTTCCTATCTAATCTCTTGGGTAGTGGAGGTGTCCTTGGCAGAATGGTTGAGGCGGTAGTTGGTCCCCTTTATCAAATGGTTGCTATGAGTGAAGACGAGTGTGGGCAAAGACAGGCTTTCAACGCGACCAGCGAGCGATATCCCAGCCGTGAAATGATTTTGCGTGCCAAGATCAATGTTAATGATCAAGCTTTATGTCATGGACCATGTAGTGGCTTTTATCTGGTGCTGGCAGACGGGAGCACATCTTCTCGCAATGAGGTTCTGGAGACTTTAACGTGCGATGATGATTGGATGCAGAAAGTCATGGATTACACTGAAAATGTTGTCATGGAAGCAGGAGGTAGATAGAGTGAATTCGAAATTTAGTATTGGTAGAAACTGGGCCTATGTATCAGATTTTCGACTGATCTGGAAGCCGCGAGATCGCTTCAAGTTGCTTTTTGTTCCAGCTCGTAACTTGAAATCTATCGCGGGGTGACTGCAACCTTGACGCCGTGCAGGCTGCTTGGCCCAACCCTCATAACAGGAACATAAGGTCGATCATCTCTAGCTTCGAGGTTTTTGAACCTCTGGCAAAAGCGTGTCAGAACATACGCGGTCTCCGTAGCTACGAGGATATGAGCTGGGCAGATGCGTGGCCCGCCGCCAAAGGGCACGAAATGCCACAATGGCCTGACGCTTTTCCAGCGCTCGGGGCGGAACTCGGCCGCATCTGGGCCCCAATAGTCAGAATCCCGGTGCATGAGATAGCGATTGCTGTGGACAATATCGCCTTTGGCACAAAAAATGGGCTGTTTGCCGTCCGGGCCACCACCCCGTGGAAGGGTGGTATCATGAGCGGCAACGCGAATCATCTGAATGCCGTTGGGCATGATTCGATGCACTACGGCGACGTCGTTAGTAAGATGTGGTCTACAACTCTTCGGAGCAGATTGCTAACCTTCGTTGATAACCCAATTCATGTACTGCATCCCCCGGAGTTTGGAAAAAGTGATTTCCTCGCTTTCGTCAAACGTATCCTTCACCTCTCTCTGCAGTCGCTTCCAAACTTCCGAATGACGAGCGAGAGCAAATATGGCGTTGGAAATGTGGATACTAGTCGTCTCATTGCTGGGAACCCAGACGGCGGTGATTTGATCTCGTAGGAGTATCTTGTCCTCTATCTGGTGCGCCATGTCCCATAGTAAATCCGTGCGTTCCGGTTTGTCGGCAAACTTGTCAGGGAACTCATTCCGCTGCTTGAGTTCATCGAAGGTCTCGTCGATGTATTCATTCATGAACTTGTGCACGAGACGAATGCTCTCGTACCACTTTGGATCCCGGTGAAGGAACATAAACTTCCCCATGGTCAGTCGTACGCGAGCGCCACGCATAATGTCGACCATGGCGAGCATGACGTCTTCTTTTTCGGGATTTTGAAGACTGTCACGACTACGGCCGAAAAGGAACTCTGTGGAGGTGTCTAAAAACTGCAAAAGAAGACAGAATCATGATGAGCTGGGTGTTTTTCAAGCAAGCTGGAGAAGGCACAACTAACCCATCTTCTGATCAAGACTTGGAAGTCAAAAGTGTTCCCATTCGTGGGTATCAGATCCAGCATTCGGTCAGTGAATGGCTGAAGTCTGGCAACGTTGGCAAAAGCTTGTCTCTCAAAGTATGGCTTGATAACGCCCCGACTGTAGTGCCAAAACTGGCCATCCGAAGTACTTACGCCTTTTCCAGTGAACGGAGTTGCGACGCCGTTGTCGACTCGTATGGGCTCAAGTACAAATTCTTCCCACTGGCTAGTGCTCATGGCCTTCATATTCTCCATTTCGGAAGAGTAGACCATGCGCATGCCGAGGAACCGCGCTTTGAAGGTTTTGGTACCCTGAGCAGCCCAAGTCTCCTCCATCCAGGACAGCCATCTATGCTGCTTGAAAGCACGGCTCATGGACATCACAAAGTCCATGCCCCAAACAGGGTCCCAGTGGGAGTAAGTCTTGATCTCGCCACATTTGAAAGCCTTAGTCTTTCGAGAGTAATTGATATTGTCCCATATCTTGTTGAGAAGATAGAGAATAACGAAACCGTATAAGGCTGTCAACGAGACGTTGAATAGGTGCAACATCTTGACCCAGGAAAGATGGTGGTAGCGGTACTGTAATTGCAAAAGATGTAAAGGACATTGGACCAGAGGTTGTGTGAAGCAGTCAAAGGTAGATGTTAGAGTTGTCGACAAACAAGATTGAGTGCGGGGTGAATATGTGAGAGTTTACTCTGCGATCGGAGCTCAGGGCGTGGAACTAAGGCTGTTAATGGTGTATCTGCATGAAAGTTGATTGTGTAAGTCGAGTGTCAGAGCTTCTATTCCAGGGACTTGCTGATCTAGATCTACCTTGTAAGTCACCTTCGGGGACGTAAATACGCGACCTGGGCTCTTCACGGACAGGGATCGCATTCCCAAAGGATGGTAAATCGGCTGTCGTTGCACTTTGATTTACACTAGAAAGCTCTGGCCATGGATGATTCTGGCTATCAGACATAACCTTCACTGCAAGACAGCATGATTTCACGATGAAGAAAAGAATCAGCTGCCCTATTCAGGGATGAAGCAATGCCTGCATGCTCTGTACAGTCCTTGGGGACACGGCGCGGAGCTACCGTCAGCGACTCAGTCTTGTGGGCCTAACCTGAAGAACTTTCGAGATACCTTACGAGAAGGATCTGTATCCAAGGAAACACCAGGATGGATCGTCGATGATATGGAACCTTGGCTACTAGCCGAGACGAAAAGTCTCTGGAAAGGTGAGAGACATCAACAGCAGGTCTCGGCGAAGGAGTCGGATAAGCGCTTAACCCAGCTTGGACTTCGTACACTGCTAATTGCATATGGAATTATCCCCTTCGGCCAGCGCTCGAAGGATTTCCCGTGGAGTGGATCGCGGCAATTGGGCGGCTCGAGTTGGGTGAGTGGAGACAGTGGCGCGCTTCAATGGAACTACACGCCTCAACATCCACACCACAACCCATCATCGCCTTTCCTCATCACGACACCCCCTCGTACCATGCTAGCCAGGATGTCATCCAAAACTTGTTGGCACCATCCTAGGGAGACCGTATTCATTTCATGTCTTAGTACTTGAGAAACAATCGGCACTTGATAGTGCTTATGGCAGTCTTTCAATTGCTACAAACCCACAGCTAACTCGGTAAAGATTCTTGTTTCCCGGTCCCGAGAAGATGGCACACCTCTGTCGATCATGCGACTGCTACGGGCGTGGCTACGCGGTACACCAACTTCTTTCCACCTGCTTTCCCCAGCTTGATCCTCTCGGCTCCTTTCGCAACCCCTGCAAGTCCCTCGTCGCTCACTTCGATTGGGTGCGTCGTGATATCCCCCGCATCTAGTACCCGCTGAGTGATCGGACCCCAAAGCTCCCCGAATGCCTTGTCCTTTGGCTTAGCATCGCGTCGATATGGCTTTTTCCAGTTGATCGGCTTGCCGAGAACCGTCCAGGAGATGATCCAGTCAGGACGCACGTTGCGACGCGTGTGCCCACGGATGGGAAACTGGTCGAGGCCCACATATCGGCCACCTTCGCTTCCGATGGCCCCGTAGCAGATCTTCATGCTCCCGCTGTCAGTGATGCAGTCAAGCACGTACATCAGACGGTCGTTCGTGCAAGCGCGTATGTCGGAAGCGCAGGAAGGCGAATGGTAGTCCCATACTTGTGCGGCACCGAGCAACTTCACCCGCTCAAAGTTGTGTGGCGAGCAGGTCGTGATAGGGATCATGCCTGAACTGCGGTCTATGTCAGCCTCTGGCTTGGCCGTGTCAATCTCATGAATTGCTCAAGTATACTCACAGCTTCGCGGCTTGAATGGCCAACGTGCCCGTCGCGGTTCCGCCACCGTAAATAAGCACATACTGAGGCTCGCCGTCACCAGAGGCTTTGTTGGCGTGCGGCAATGGGAGTTTCATGACGTGGTATAGAGAAAGACCGATGGTGAGCATACCGCACCCCAGTGTGGCAGCTTCTTCAAAACCCATTGAAGAAGGGATGTCGAACAATAAAGCTTCTGGGACGCTCACATACTCGGCAAATCCACCGTTGTGAGGGTCGTCAGCGCTGTTGCCCGGGGATGCGCCTGCAACTCGATCACCAGGCTTGAAGTGCTTCTTGCACTCTGTCCCGACAGAAACGACCTGCCCAGAAAAGTCACAGCCCCAAGTGGAGCCTGGGGATGGAGACATATCCAGTGATTTCCAGTCAAACGGGTTGATGCCAATGCAGACGACCTTCACCAAGACCTCATCAATCTTTGGCTGAGGCACAGGACAGGCATCTTGCAGTTCGACACTCCCTGCCCCTTGGACTTTCAGCGCCTTTTGCGTAGCTGGCGGCATGTTGCCGTTGTTCAATTTCTGTATCGCCATTGCGGAGCTCGACTGAGAGGAAAAATACGGAGATGGTTGAGAATGAAGTGGTAGAGGTAATGTGGTCCACGGTAAAAGAGATGATGGGATTGCGAAGTTGAAGACTAGAAGGGATGCTTGTAGGTCTGAGAAGAGGTCTGTAAAAGCTGCCCAAAGAGCAGATATTCATGGAACGCCTCCTCTGGTGAGATCAGCTCTTTCCGCCCTTCTCTCAAGTCCCAAGTGCCTGCAGGGTTTCTCGATGAGAGGCGCAAACACCCTGGCGAAGCACTATACTAGGCTCCATCGTTGCCTTCGACGGAGTCGTATGCCCGTGCATTGCGCCATATCTTGTCAGAACTTTTGGTACGCCGGTGTCTCCTTATGACTCGACCTATGCTCAGCCCTTCCGCCGAGGCGGATGGAACAAATGGGGGGTCATCCCGCGCCACTCCTGATGCTTGGTGCAGCGAGTCAAGCAATCACCTCGAGCAAACCTCACGGGTTGTCAATCGTACAAATCTACTGTGTTTCAGGCTTTGACGCTTGCTTGCTGACCTGACTAGGTACTAACCTCGCTCACACATCATATGCACACGCCCCAATTTGTCTTATCCTGGACTTTTGAGGCGAGGTCGGAAATGTTCGGTCCCATACCGGGGCAGGATTGTATACCTGTTGGTATCATTCAATTCTCCCGGTTACAACACCGCGCTTGCCAATCTTTCCTATGCACATGCAAGATTGTCACCCCATGTACACCAAAGTACCATTGAATAGCACTGCAAGGGCTGTGAACATCGACCATGTCCCACGTCTCATCTCGCTCCACTGGGTATCCACTCCGGCCTCCATCGGATCGATTATTCTCTTTTCAGCAGACCAGACGTGGAAGGAACTTTCGGGCATAGGCTTGCTCTACGCCTCATGAATCACGACCTGCCCGGGGGGCAAGAGAATTGCCTCAGTATGTATACCTTGAGTGCCAGGCAACACACCAATCGAATACTACATGAAGCAATATGTTTGCATACACCTAACTCTTTGGAAAACCAACTTGGACTACCTAACTCGCTTGTAAGATTGAAATTGTCGGGTGCCTTCACGAAGACTCTCTTCTCTCCAGTTATTCTCATATCAGATGACAGCGACGTCTTTTCTCTCTTCTTGACACCTCCATTCAACACCCCCAAGGCATCCACCGCTCTCAACAGCACATTGGGTGTAGTTCTTTTAGCGCCTCTAGCTAGCTTTCTATCACCAAAAGCTACCAGGCTTTGTCACCATGCCTACACAACAAGAGCCCATAGCCATCATCGGCTCTGCATGCCGTTTCCCCGGCGGCGCATCATCCCCTACAAAGCTTTGGGAGCTGTTGAAAGAACCCAAGGATGTGTTACGCGACTTCGCCAGAGATCGACTGAATCTTGAGGCATTTCATCACTCCGATGGCGAGCATCATGGCGCCACCGATGTCTGCAGCAAGGGATATATTCTCGAGGAGGATAGCCGGCTGTTTGATGCCTCTTTCTTCAATATCAACCCAGCTGAGGCTGATGCCATGGACCCTCAGCAACGTCTCACACTCGAGACGGTATATGAATCACTCGAGTCTGCAGGCTACACACTCGACCAAATTCAAGGATCCTTGACGTCCGTGTTTCTCGGTGTAATGACTGGAGATTATCATGACATTCAACAAAGAGACCCAGAGACCATCAACCGATACCACGCCACCGGCACGTCCAAGAGCATCCTTTCGAATCGCGTGTCCTACTACTTCGACTTAAGAGGCCCTTCCATAACGATGGATACAGCCTGCTCTTCATCCCTCGCTGCCCTTCACCTCGCCGTTCAATCTCTTCGTAACGGCGAGTCCTCCACGGCTATTGCCATCGGAGTCAACTTGATCTTTGACGCTGCCGGCTATGTCGCTGAGTCCAAGCTTCACATGCTCAGTCCAACCTCACGTAGCCGCATGTGGGATGCAGGCGCGGATGGCTATGCTCGTGGAGAGGGAGTCGCTTCCGTCGTCCTGAAGCCCCTCAGCGCTGCCGTTCGCGATGGTGACCATATTGAGTCTGTTATTCGCGAGACTGGCATGAATAGCGATGGCCGTACCACTGGAATTACTATGCCCTCCTCCGCTGCGCAGGCCACACTCATCCGCCGAACGTACGACAATGCCGGATTAGACCCCATCGTTGATCGTCCACAATATTTTGAGGCCCATGGCACTGGTACTCTAGCCGGAGACCCGGTTGAGGCCCGAGCTATCCGAGAATCATTTTTCTCTCCCGGAACATCGTCGCCCGAAGACGCAGAAAAGCTCTTTTGCGGCTCCATCAAGACTGTCATTGGTCACACGGAAGGTTGTGCAGGTCTGGCAGGGTTGCTCAAGGTCTCTCTGGCCCTGCAAAATCACACGATTCCTCCCAACTTGCTATTCAACACCCTCAATCCTGCGATAAAGCCATTCTACGACCGACTTTGTGTACCAACTACGTCTATTTCTTGGCCAAAGATCCCAAACGGACCAAGAAGGGCCAGTTTAAACAGCTTCGGCTTCGGCGGGACCAATGTACACGCGATCATTGAGAGCTACACCCCTGAAGACTTGATTACCAGTGGAGACACTTTTATGAACGGCCTTTCTCATAAGTTTGTTGGGCCGTTGGTGGTCTCGTCCGAGAGGGAGTCGTCGCTTGCGGAGACTGTCGGCAAGTACGCCGACTTTATCAAGTCCCACCCTGATGTCGATCTAGAGGATCTGGCTCTCGTATCCCAGACGAAGCGCAGCTTGTTCTCTACTCGGGCGTTCTTCTCTGGAGAGACACGAGATAAGCTCATCGAGTTTCTCGAGATGGCTAGAGAAACCTCTCACACTGGGGCCGAGATTGGCATCAAAGCCCCTAGTGCTTCTGCTGGGCCTCCTGCGATTCTTGGAATCTTCACTGGCCAGGGAGCACAGTGGGCGTCGATGGGTCGGCTGATGATCGAATCATCCTATCAATTCAGGCAATCCATCATGAAGTGCGAAGACGCCCTAAGAGATATTTCAGACGCTCCATCGTGGTCTCTGGTGCAGGAGCTCACAGCTCCGGAAGAGGTTTCGCGCATCGGAGAAGCTGCCATCTCCCAACCACTCTGCACTGCAATTCAGATTGCCGTGGTTGACGTCCTGGCCTATTCAGGAGTTCGCTTCGATTCGGTCGTCGGCCACTCTTCAGGAGAGATCGCCGCCGTTTACGCAGCCGGCATCATCTCCGCCGCTGACGCTATGAAGATCGCATATTATCGTGGTTTATACGCCAAGCTTGCCCTCAGCCAGTCAGGTGCACGAGGCTCTATGATGGCGATCGGCCTCGGGTTCGAGGATGCCATGGCCTTTTGCGACGAACCGCAGTTCAAGGGTCGGATCGGCCTTGCCGCTAGCAACTCCCCTACCAGCACTACTCTATCCGGCGATGAAGTTGCCATTAATGAGGCCAAGGCAATACTGGAAGAGCAAAAGACATTCACCCGCCTCTTGAAGGTAGATACTGCCTACCACTCGCATCACATGATGCCTTGCGCCAAGCCTTACCTGGCGGCTCTCACGGCATGCAATATCAAAGTCAATACGCCATCTGATCGTTGCGTGTGGATATCATCGGTCCACGGACATGCTGAGCTTCTCGATGATGAAGCCAGTCTCTCAGTCTTGTCGGGCCAGTATTGGATCGACAATATGGTGAGACCCGTTCTGTTCTCCGAGGCTACTGAATGTTCTCTGTGGAGAGCCGGGCCATTCAACCTTGTACTCGAGATCGGACCGCATCCAGCACTCAAGGGACCTGCATCGCAGACAATGAAGACTGCTCTTGGCCATATTCTGCCTTACGCTACTTTTCTACGACGTGGCTATAATGATGTCGAAGCCTTTTCTGGTGGAATTGGCTACATCTGGAGCTACCTCGGTTCAGTGGTCGATTTTTCGGGCTACCGCAAAGCCATGCACGGCCCAGATGCACATCCAGCCCGAATGCTCAAGGGCCTCCCTTCCTACGCGTGGCATCATGACAAGATCCACTGGAAAGAAGCACGCCTCTCGCGTCGGTATCGTCTAGCCCACAAGGCACCTCATGAACTCCTGGGTAGGCGCACTATCGATGACTCGGAAACAGATTTGAGATGGCGCAACATCTTGAAGCTGAGTGAGCTGCCTTGGGTGCGTGGGCACGTCTTTCAAGGACTCGTTCTGTTTCCAACATCGGGATACATGGCCATGGCAATACAAGCAGCAATGGAGATAGCGGACTCTCGGCCGGTCAAGTTTATCGAGATCCGCGACCTCGTTATTCCTCGTGCACTGACGATGGAAGAGAACCATCCTGGTGTGGAATCTGTCTTTTCCATCAAGAGGACCTATATAAACGATGATGACGAGGCCATTTTTCGAGGAGAATTCTCCTGTCATACTTGCTCGAATGAAGCCACTGGAACACTGGAACGGAACTGCGCTGGGTCGATCATCATTGACTTTGGCGAGCCTTCGGCCGATACTCTACCACCTCGTGCCCAAGGGCAATCCGGCGTTGCCTCGGTGGATACGGAAGAATACTACTCTTCGCTGCTCAAAATCGGCTTGAATTATCAAGGACTTTTCCGTGGCATCAAGTCTGTCAACCGCACAATGGGTTATGCCACAACCAAGGCGTCATGGAATCAGTCCGACGTCGGCGACAAATATGTGATGCACCCCGGGCCGCTAGATGTTGCTTTTCACTCCATTATTGCAGCATTTTGCACTCCCCTCAGCGGTGCTCTATGGGCACCGTATCTGCCGGTCAAGGTCGACCGTCTGGCTCTCACACCCAACATCGATTACCAAGGAGAACCTGGCCAGATCAACTTTGACGTAGACACATTCGTCACGAGGACTACGGCAAATACTTTCGAGGGAGACGTTCATATTATTGGCCCGGATGGCCGAACAGGCTTACAGGCCGAGGGTCTGACGCTGAAGCTATTCACCGAAG